GACAGGGAATGAAAAGAAGTAAGAGATAAAAAAAAAATTCACGATGATTGATCCTGACCTAAATGAAGGTGACATGCATGCACTTCGTAGACTTTTTCTTTAGACAAAAGTTTATAAAGTTGGGAAACGATTAACCTATAAAGACCTTACATTTGACACAAACGTGGGAAGAAATATAAATACAAGTTTTTGACACTTTTGATAGGGTTCCACACAACTTTAGAGAGAAAAACACATAATTATCAAGATCAATGAACAAAAACTAGGGTTTGAAGAGGTTGAAAAAGATTTTTGGTGCAAAATCCAATTCTTTCCTTAATCAAGATTTCAAAACTCGATTATGAATTCTATACTTTTTGTTATTCTCTCATTATTATGAGTAGCTCAATTCATATGTGTGATGACTATTTATTTCTTTTATTCAATATTCTAGTTTTTTTAAATGCACGTGTGCTGATTTTATTCATGAATTTAATGCTTTGAATTCTTTGACCAATTATTCAATAATTTTGTAAATCTATTACGAATCGAGAGGTGGATTTTAGATATAGACCACATAGTAAAATTCGGTAATTTAGTTTAACGTTTAGAGATTGATCCACATAAAAATATGAAATTGAATTAATTAAATAGATTCAGCCCCTGTTTGTTTGGCATTAAATCTCAATTGTAGACAAAATCTGACTATTAGCAGCCTACCATTTTGGACCATTGTCTCACTGTGTAGGACACACTATTTGAAAATAACGATTGAATTTCTCATTTTGTCAGGAGAATAATGCACGACAAACAGGCTCTCAATGAGAATTCAAGAGTGGTAAATTGAATACTTTACAAGAATTTAACCGAATACTACAATAATAATGAATTTTGATTGACGAATTAAAGGAGATCCATAGGTAAAATTGTAAGTCCTAACATCCACATTCATACTTTTAAAACTCAAATTCAATAAACTGTGTAAGTTAGATAATTTAGTTATGTTGGGAATAATTTAGACACCAAATTCAAATCTTATTATTTTTTTATCAAATTAAAGTTAGAAATAATATAAATTGTTAAATAGTAGTTCTCGTAGAAACGATATCCGAACTCATTGTTTTGAATAGTGAGTTTTGGAGAACGTGTGATTAAAAAGTATGACAAAATTTTGAATTTACGTATAGAATATTTTATTGTATGAATGTATAGTTGAAAATGAGTATACCCTCGTTTGGTGGTCATTTTTTTGGAAAAAATAGTAGTCCTCGTATGAACGATATCCAAACTCATTGTTTTGAATAGTGAGTTTTGGAGAACATGTGGTTAAAAAGTATGAAAAAATTTTTGTAGAATATTTTATTGTATGAATGTGTAGTTGAAAATGAGTATACCCCCATTTGGTGGTCTTTTTTTTTTTTGAAAAACTTTGTTTTGAATAGTGATTTTTTGAACAATGTTTTAAAAAAGTAGGAAACTATTTTGGATTCACGTAAAAAATATTTTATTTTGTAAATGTGTGGTTGCAAATAAGTATATAGAAAAATAATTTTAAAAGAATGAGAGACATATATAAACTTATGTAAAGAAAATAGTTTTGAAAGATTGAAAAATAAATGGGGACTAAAATAAGTCTTGTTTCCTTGTCCAAGAAGACTCGTGTCATTGTAACATCTTGGAAACTCGAAACTAAGGGCTAGTCTGAGCCCCATTTTTTAAAGTAGAATGCATTTTCAAATATTAGATTGATGATTTGTGATTAAAAATAAAGGAAAAAGTTTTGGGTTACGTTTAATATCATTGGGTAATTAGCGCAAAACGTTCCTACTTTTGACGGGTTTTGTGTAAAACGTCCATACGTTTCATTTTTTGGCGCAAAACGTCCATACCTTTCACATTGTTTGCACAAAACGTCATTTT